AGGCCTGCACAGACACACACAATAATAATGTTTCGATTGCTCTGATATGTAAACACAAACACACATTTGGTCAGACAGAGGCTCCGGCTGTGATTTGTCAAAACCTACCTCAAACCTCAGACATGTACACAGCAGGTTTCTCAGTATGAAGGTGAAAGGTGTTAAAGGCTGGACAAGGCAGATCTTTCCTCTGTCCATAGTTCTGCCCACCTCGCTAGTCTGAATCCCACAACTGACCATTACATTCACACCTACTATGAAGTGATGATGCCATATCTGAGGGAGGACGAGGGGAGGAAGTGGGGTGATGGCTCCTAATAACATAATGCTGAGTAACAGTAACTGTTCTTAAGGTCCTACCAGACAATTTCACAGGTTGCTGACTTCAAATGAGGAATGGAGTGACAACTCCAGAGCCCAGGAATCAGCATCAGCATCAGTGGACTATTGCTGCTACTGGACCTCTGTATGTGTGGAAGAACTGCTTCATGAAACAGAGACGAGGATAGACTGTGGATTGACCAATAAATGCAGCACCCCCAGGGTAACATAAAATTGAACTCCTCTATTCATGTCACGTGACCACTGGCCAGAAGAGAGCAGTGACTCCATGTGGTCAAGTCCACTAGACATCTCTGTCTTCTTAATAGCAATAAAACTATTTAGGTCCCAATGTGTAAAATAAAGTCATGTAATTTGTTATGACTAATATTTTATGAAAAATACATAAAGGTTGTTAAAAGGTCAGCATTCGTCCTTTGTTTTATTGAGGTAAAAAAAAACACACATAGAAGATAGATCAAAAATACTGGTATTGCCCATCACTAGTTGTGGGTTTGATTCCAGACTTATGCCATCCGTTAAGAGTAGGCAAAACCTCTAGTGTAGAGCACTGATTGGTCATTGGTCTAGACCAGTGGTTCTTAACCTGGGTTCGATTGAACCCCTGGGGTTCGGTGAGTCAGTATTAGGGGTTCGACGGAGGACAATACACAAACCCGACTCATATGATTCGTGATGACACGCCCCCGCTTGGCCATCAATGAAGGGTTCGGTGAATGCACACATGAAACTGGTGGGGTTCAGAACCTCCAACAAGGAGATACTGAACCTTAAAGGGCTAAGAACCACTGGTTTAGACTAAATGCTCGAGAGATGAAGACCATTTACCAATTTGCTGTGTCCTGCCTTTGAGACCCTCTGCTGAAAGTTAGATTTAAGGACATTATGTTACGTTATTCAGGGCCCCAAGAGACATGCTTTGACATGTTTGGAATATTCAAATCCAAAGGAGTACACACAGTTCCTGGGCTGGACGTTCAAGGGCAGCTATCTGAGGACCATTAGTGCTCTGCACATTCCTTAATTTCTCAATCTTTTCTGACACCTAACTCCATGAAAACGAGAACTGAACAAGCTTCAGGAGATGAATGGGAGTGTTTGATTTTTGCAGTGGAGGATTAATCTGTGAAACCTACCTGCTTTATTAGATTTAACCGACACACAAAGGGAAAGATGCAATCTTTCCTCTCCGTCGCGGCATTTTCTTTTCTTTCTACTCCATTATCATTATTCATGCTGCTCCATCTTTTACTCCGCTCCACTCACCTATCTGTTCAAGTTGTCAGTCGGCCCTGCTAATGACTCTAGGCTGTCTGCTGTGATAATGGGCTAACAATATTAGATAATGAGCTAACAGTGGGGTGTTACACAACGCGGCTGTTAGTGTCTGTTATATACTTGGCTGAGTGCAGTGTGCTGGATCGTCGATGGGAAAAGAGTTAACTTGGGATTAAAGGTTTGGCCTCGCCTCCAAACTCCCAAAATGCATCACACTAAAAACCATGTACTTGGTACAAGATAGTGTAGAAAAAAGTAATATTTCTTGCCTTTCACAAGTTACTCCCCATACAGATGTGATTGATTTAAATGTATGTGGACATGATGCTGTCAACTGTAGTGAAGTGAGTGAAATCAGACAAGAGTGGTGGACTGTTTGATTCTGAGTCTGGGGGATATTCTCTTCAAACACACTGTAATGTGTACAGACATTTTTCAAGCACGGACATGAAAGAGAGTCTGTATTGCTCTGATGACCCAAATAAAGTTACTCAAGGAGCTGCAGTCTGAACCTGAAATGATGAATGGGCCATATTTATATACTGTTTTTCAGTTTGCTTAGTGCTGACCTTTTGAGTGCACATTTATCACATTCATTCATGAACTCTGTTCATAGACCGTATGTAAGAAGGGGACAGCTCCAGAAGAAAATTACTGCCAAAACTAAAAGGATTTTTTTTATCCCTACATGATAAAATGCTAAAAAATTAGTTACTGTACTCTCTGCTGTCAGGCTGTCCTAATAAATCTGCTGAAAGACTTCATCTCATCCAAAACTTTTCAAAAACCAGAAAGAGAGACCATATCAGTGCAGTCCTGACCTCTCTATACTGGCTCCCAGTAAAATCTAGGAAATTCTCCTGCTCACATTTTAATCACTTCATGACCAGACACCATCTTATATTGTTGACCTCATAAGACCCAAACAACTTCACAACAAAGATGCAGGCCTACAGGTACCAGAGCAAATGTGAGGGATCTTCAGGAACAGTACATTCTGGATCTGAAGACCCGGGGGAAAAATGATTTGAGTAACATTTATCAGGAAGTTACTCAAATCAATTGTTTTTGGACCACATATGACCTATATTTCATTTTTTGTATGACAATGAGACAGCAGCAGAAACCTGGACTGAGCCAAAACACTCTCATATGTGGAAATAACACATATTAGACGTTTTTCAGAGGGCCCTCTGTCTAAACTCAGTCATCACTGACGTGAGACGGGCGTCATAATCCTGTGCCAAAGCTGGGGAGACTGGAGTAAATAGTGGACACAACACAATCGTGCAGACACTGTTGAAAGAGCAAGTCGGTAGAATGGACAAGACTGTCAAAGCTGTGGCGACAGGAAAGGTGGCATCGTAGCTAACACTGGAGTTTGATGGCATTTAAACTAAAAGGGAACAGCTACCCAGAGAAAAGACCAAAGACCAAAGAAAAAAAAAGAACTGAGCAACAACACCTGAACACAACATACATACACAACAAAGTCTTTGGGAAATCAATTATAACATACATCTAGGTATTGGACTGTGTTTTTGCTTATATGTCAATGTTTTTCAAATCTTATTGATGTGATGTTTTTTGCACATTATTTCCACTCTGTCACCTCGGTACAATTTAATAAAGCAGAAATATCACAAGTTCAACATGATATAAAAAACAACACATTTTCTTGGAATAAAGAGCAGGAGAGCGGCCACAGGAGAGTTCGAACATTTACTGGAGGCAGAAAGACCAAAACAAGAGAGCCCACCTTTGCAGAATATGAATGTTTTTGTTTTTGTTTGTTGTGTTTCTGAAAATCTGCTCTGCAATGGAAATCTCTGCGGATCTGAGGTTAGCACATTATCCACAACTGTTTCAGCAAATCTGACTAGAGTGAGTACAAAGGTGCTCCGCTGGACCGGAGACAAGCCTGTTCTTATTTCAGAGTGGAGTGAGCAGACAGGACACGCTGTATGATTGGCAGCAGCACAAAGAAGACAAGAGGAAGCTAAAGCCCACCAAGAGAGGAGGAAAGTGTGCATGGTCCCGAGTGTGGATGTGCACGTCTCAGACTATATGCTCTGTGTGCTTTTTTGGCTTTTCCTTATTTCTGAATCCAAGTTTGCATTTATATTCTGCACGCACACAAACACTGGCCCACATGCTCAGCGCTGAAGCAGGACAGGGAGTGTGTGAATCTGCACAGACTCAACAATACATCACTATCTTTTCCTCTAACACTGGCTGCTACAATGTTATTTATCAAAGGGCCACAAAACCTGAAGGCAGCACGTCTTAGCACGGCTTAGGCAATGGCAACTCATTAGTCAATATTTTTATTCTTGGGCTGTAACAATTAACAGATTGATATTTTTTTAGATTAAACTGATTTATATTTTTAACACATTGATAAAATGATGATTATTCCATATCTAATAACTCCACTGTCATCCACTTCTTGTTGACCACTACACGCTATTTCTACAGACTGCAGGGAAAGGTCATTGTTTCAGTGAAACACCTTCATCCTAAAATACCAGCTCTAGTGTTTGTGGCTGCTTCAACTCCATGTCAGAGGATTAAGATTAGCAGACCATAAATATTTTCACATATAGTCACAAATAAAAACAAATGAGTAACACAGATATCAAAATATGATTACCTACAGTCACGATTAATCATGATTATTTATGATTAATTCACAGCTACCCTGAGATTAAAATTTAAATTTTAGTTGGTTGGCAGATATTCTAAACACATAATATGGATGGATCAAACCACTTAAACTGATCTAAGGAATGTCAGACATGTTAGCCAAAAGTTGCTAATATCTTGTCAGTAGAAAATACATGAGGAAGACATGCTTTTGCCTCGTTCTGTCTTAGAATGACCTGTTGTATCCGATTCTTCTCTTCACAACTGCAGTTGATTTAAAAATGGTGACTGTTTCGTTATTTGTCTCTATCTGTGGCCTTGGGATAGACTGGACAACTGTCCGGGGTAGCCCCTGATTGGCTCCAGTGCCCCCTTATGACACCGCAAACGAATAAGTGGTAGACAATGGTTGTATGGATAGTTCCATCAGTCCTGTTGATCAGACAAGTTTATCACCCACGTCTGCACTTTTAAAAACATTCCAAGAAATAAACTGAAACTTCTTGAATAGAAGGCGAAACATTTTCTTAAAACTTGAGTGCGATTGCCTAATTTAAAAAAAATAAACCTTACTAGAACCTACTTAGGAGGACCCGAGACTCTGTAGACAGATCAAGGAATGTAGGAACAACACAAATCCTCAGTGGTAGGAGGAACAACCTGGAGCACACATTTTACAAAGAAGAAAAAACACACATGACCTGACTCCTCTGTTTGTCTAATGTCATCCATACCTCCAGGACAGATGTCTTTTATTCCATTTGTTCTGAAGAGCAAGGTTCCGTTTCCTGCGGCTCGTGGTCCCCTCAGCGTCCGACACATCTGGCAGAGAACATCTGGGGGTTTTCATTAGTCCTAATGTGGCTTGGTCTGGGCAGAATGAAGAACAAGAGAAGAGGAAGAGATGATCAGAGAAAAGGTGCTGAAAGAATCTTCAGTGGAGGCCAAGCCTGACTGGTAGACGGCCAGCCTCCACAGAGACCTGTGGGGTAGATGTTGTTCTAAGGCTGCCATAATTCAATTGGTATACACACTAGAGATGACAAGGCATCCAATTACTGGTGTTGAGATTGAATGTGAAGGTTATATTAAAAGCCCATGAATGGAAAAATCTAACTCAATAATAATGATGTTAAATTTCACTGGGCTGTTTGAGACAAAAGAGAAGCCAAATACAGCAGCAGCAGCAGCAGCAGCAGCAGCAGCAGCAGCAGCGGTGGCGGCAAGTTAGCTGCCGATCACAGCTGTACTGATGGTTGTTATCACTCTTTTTGGCTTTAGCAGCAGCTGTAGTCTGCAGATGGCCTGTCACTTTGAGCAACTGTATGTTCAACAATAAACAAAGTTGGAGACAGCATTGTATATGTGACCTGTGGAATTTACATTTGCGAAAACACAGAAGTGCAGCACTGATTCTGTGGTGTTGAAATATCTATACTCAGCGTCAATGATTAATCTCATAAAGTATTAATAGAGAAGACCAGAAGAGAGCAGTGACTCCATGTGATCAAGTCCACTAGACATCTCTGACCCTTAATGGTAGTAATTCAAATATTTTTAGGTAAACGATATGTGATTTACAGATACAGTCAACTTGAGATACAAGTCACGATTTTTGGTTCGCAATATTTTATCATGACGTTTTTGAAACAAATTGTAACCTAATACAATGATGCTTAATTTGTAATAATATGTTCTCGTGTACTTCGTAAACTGAAGTTTTTATCTTAAAAAACAGAATACAAAAAATGCACATCACCATTTATCTCCTCCTAAGTAAAAAGTAAAAAAAAGACTGGTTTTATTTACCTGACTAGCTGTCAATCTAATAAACAAGAAAAGAAGGCTGTACCTAAGTACTGATCACACATTGAGAAAACATCATAACTGTAACTTCTAAAAGGTAGAAGAGGTGTTGAACCTTAGAGCAGTTGTTCAATGTTTCAACACATGTCACGAGTCACATGTTTAAGCTATGTAAGAGCAAGGAAACTAAATTAGAGTACAAAATAAAATGTAGAAATGGGAAACTCAGAACCTTCACTAAATCTGCTTTTTGCACATTTCCGATGTTTGAAAGTCAGTTAAATAAAAAGAAAAGGATAATGCAGGACAACATTTGTATTCAGGACCAAATGTAGGAGAAAATCATTTGACTGTAGAGAACACTGGTTCTTAAAGAGAGGGTTCAGGGTTCACTGAATCATATAATAAGCTTTTTCCATATCGATCAGTCTCCACACAACAACCCACACATTTGCTACAGCAAAGCCAACATAGCTACGTACCGAAAACTCCAGTCTCCTTCAGTCCTCCAAACCTCTGCATGGCTTTGATGGCCTTGGTCAGGGCCTCCTTGGTCTGGAGCTGCCCAGTCACCGGGTCAGGAGGTGGGAGGTATCCAAATCTGCTCAGCCAGTCCTGCAGCGGAGAAGCAGTAGGTCAAGAGTCAGGTTGTGCATTTTAAACACGCCAAGTATCCTACAGCAGCTGAAAAGGTCCAACACCTGTTAACCCCCGCAGTCTTTGGATTTGGTTCTGTGTGTAAATATATACATGTGCATATATGAAGCTGAGTACACAGATTTATACAAGAGACCCTCAGAAAAACAAGTGCATGTTTATAAACAGGTATCTTCTTTCTAAACCATCACCACCAGCAGCTGCTGGGATCCACTGACCTACAGTTTTAGTCTAGACACGTTCTGTTTCCAGATTCATGTGACAGGTTCTAGCTGAAGAATTTGATGTCTAAGAGGCTGAAAAACATGTTTTATGAGGTCACTTTGACCTGGCTAGCTGAACCTCGAAGTCTTTTCTGAGAGCATAGTTTTTGGGGCATTAATAATAGAGCATTCACTTTTAATATTAAATATATAGATTTATATTATAAATAAATATATAAATATTTAAAAATTTTAATTTCTTATTTGAAAAAACAAAAAAATGTGTTGAAAAACGATCCAAATGGCCTACAGCTGGAAGCCACTCCTTGGCTAACAAAAAACAAACAAACAAACAAACAATGGTGTTGGTGTTGTTTTGATGTTAGCAAGCAAGTCTCCACGGTGGAGCAATATTACATAAAAATGTACAAAAAGTAGTTTATTACAGTTAAAAATAATTACCAGTAACAATGCTTCTGCGCCTGCAAAAGAGTAGCGTGTAATTCCCGATAGCTCTGAGTTTGGTAAGCATTAGATAAGAAGCTAAACCTGTTAGCAAACATGTTTAATGATTCTCCTGAATGGACAAAATTGGAAAAAGAACTCAGACACATTGTTTGTTTCGAGGTAACATTTGATGCCTTTGTGCCTGCGCAAATGAAACATATTGGTAAAAAAACAAATGAACAATCATGTAGTTTTGCTCTAAGTAACTAAGTGGGCTAAACAGTCCTCCTGGGTGGACAAGTTTTATACCAACCTTCTTAAGATCCTAAAATACGCTGTTTATCCATTGTGTAGCTCATCAACAATAAATACCTCTGTGTCGGCACAAAAGATACACGACCTTAAAATCCTTGTCTTTCTCACTGGCATCTTGCCCAGCCTGCAGTAAGAACTAAAATCCCATGAGTCGCATACATTTTGTTTAGTCTGAAAACAAGACAGTGTTAGCTCAGAGGAAATGACATGTAATGAGAATGACCTCACGGTGACACTGACCACAAAGGTCAGTGTCACAAAGCTCAATGAAAGGCCTCTAAGAGGTCACAGAAACACTGACCTTTGACCGCAAAAATCAATTTTTCCGGTGGACATTGGACATTTGTCTAAAAAGACCCCCGTTCTCCAATACTTGATTGAATGGGGGGATGGAGAGGGGTATACAGAACCTGTAGAAAACCCATGGACATGAAGAACATCCAAACTCCATACAGAAAGATTTAGAACTTCAACCAGCAAACCTCTGGTCTCTTTGCTCTGAGGCGAGAACACAAATCCATTTTCCCGCCATGTGTGCAGAGATCGATTATTGCACTTCGTATTTTTTAATAAGAGCTTGTCCTTCACACCTGATGTCTAAACATAGGTCTGCAGCTCAATGGCATAGATTTCTGACATCAATTCAAAGAAGGACACGGATGATTAAGAATACACACAGGAGCCAACGTGTGTTTATTCCAAGGTAACTGCGAGTCCATTTCCACTCTGGACCTGTGCAGTGGCTGCCAATCAAAGGAGACCAGCTGAGTCTATCGATTGTTTTCAGTGTCTGAGAACTGACGCTTGACAGCATCCGAGCTGCAACTTAAGCACGGGGCTTTTCTTCTCCTCTACTCTAAACTCCCATCTCTCTCTCTCTCTCTCCCTGAGGTCTTTATTTTTTATCCTTCACAGATGGCGCCTCCATCCTGTCACAAACAGTGACACCCGACGAGAAAAGACAGATTTTAAATAGCCTTTTGATCTGTATTCATCAGAGGTGATTGACACCGATAGTGAGGCTTTCCCGCCTGCATTGACAGAGGTTAAAATCCATTAAGTGAATGACTTAGCTTTAAGTGAAGCTTCCTGCCAGCTGATACCCGCCTCATCATCTTTACCCCTGCCTCGCTGCAAAAAGAGATTGTGCGTGTACAGGAGGGGGGAGGGGGGGGGGTGCAGAGGGGGATTAAACTGACCCTCAGCCAGAGCGGGGCAGGGGAGGATGAAAAGCAACAATTTCCTGGATGTAATGCCTGGGGGGTAAATTGTAGAGGTTATAGAATTTAAAAGATATGCAGCAGGAACGTGATCCTAGAATCTAACAGTGAACTGAGATTTACTGTAAAAGAGCTCAATGATAAAATTCAAGAAATGTGATGAATAGTAATGTGAAGTCAAAGGTCTTAAGCTTCTGTGTTGGCAGTATAATTCGCACGAGATATTTGGACAGGTTTTAACCTGCAGCTTAACCACAGTTTTTGAACAAAACAAGTAAAAATTGAAGGACAGATACGTTGTATGGATTTTAATAAATAAAAATCCATACAACGTATCTGTAAACAAATAAATCTGGCTGCGGCTGTTCCCAAAAGTCCGTCCTCCAACACCTAATCTGCACAGGCTTTTGACTTATAATACATTCACACTGGAAAAAAAGATAAAATTAAATATTCTATTCTACAAACCAGACTGGATGCATAGTAAATATGGCATGAGCTTCCTCCACAGTGCACAATGGAAATGGAGAAAGCTGCTGCTGGTAGCTATAAAAAATATTAGAATGAAATAGTGAATAGGAGTTAGACATCTCCCAAATCGTAAACACTTACTTTAGAGCAACTTTTTAAAGACTTTCTCTGGTTTATTGCACTGTGGTGTTTGGCTTTTTTTAATGGAATGAGAACCTCGGCTTCTGAAACTGCTGATATTATTTTGTAAATAAACTGCCTCAGGAAAACACCAGCATTGTTTTATGGGTGCAAACCCAGTTGTGGTCCATGTGAGTTGTCTACATGTAGGGGCAACAGAAATGATGCATGTGACGCTGACAGGCTAATATGGTTTGAATAAAGTAGGAAGTGAATCACCTTCAGTGCCTTTAGTATCTGTCAAGTCCTCTGATAGAGTCAGAAACTCAACGTGACAACGTCACTTAACATGCATTGTTTCAGTGTCACCAGCAGAGTGCTACACTATGGAAGCGTTTATTTAAGAAGTTCAACAATGTCAACAGTTAAACTATTTCGGAGCTAACTTCTGGTTATCTTCAGTCTTACTTTTAGCAGTCAGGATGCTAACTTTTGTTTTGACTGTTATTATTAACTTTATCTGGGCAGTCTAAACAGCCATTAAATTCATACAGTATATTATGGTAAACTTCAACTTGTAAGGAAACAGTTTATTTGGATTATGCTCCATTGTTTTTTTGACTAATGTTTAGCCTTTTTTTTTTTGGCTAGGCCCCAGTTAAAGTTGCATTTGAGGCCTTTCATAGGGTGTATTTAATATTCAGGTGAGGGTTAAATGGAACTCTAGGAAGCTTTAAAATATTTAAAATACTCAACCCTACTACCAACCACTGGGGCTCAAAGATTTCACCCAGCCTAACCCCATGCTCATTTCGTATTGCCCACGTTAAGCCCTGGGTGGCCCACATGGTCCTGCAGGCTGGAATGTCACTTTTATAACATGCAGCCCAATTTAGAACTGCAGCCATTTTTCCTTAAGTCAGCAGAACATGTGGATTCACATCTGTGCACGCTGTGATTGTTGTGTCCATATGGACAAGAGTAGGTTTAAATAGTCCTTCTCTGTGGGTAAGGTGCACCAGTGATGAATTACATCTGTGCCTCCTCCACCACTGCAGCCCTGTGTTTTCACACACAGCCCATAAAGTCACTACATAAAACTTTTTTTTTGTTTTCTGTGGGGAGCCAGCAGCTAATTTAAAACTGTCACTGTAGCTTAGGGGAGCAACAACAGCATAAAAAAAGGTGTACCGCATTACCAACATGTTCAGCAACATGCTGGGCACTGACTTATGTACAGGCAGGGCTCAGTGTTTACGTGGGACTGGAAGTAACTCTTAAGGTTTGTCCTCAAATACAGACACAAAACAAAATAAACGCTTGGGAATTAATGTGGGTTAAAATCTATACGGACATAAACACGGGATGTTTAAGGCACTGAAACCTTACTAGACATCTGGGTCCAACCATTCACCGACATTGTGCATGGCTGCCAGATTTGATAACATACATTAAAAGCCAACTGCTCCTCCTGTGATATTAAAGACTAGAATTATGGTGGATGTTTTAATGGTAATGTAAATGCAGACCACTCTTCTTTGGAGAATTTGCTAAAAATGATGCATGCTATAATTCTCATGCATTTTACCGCCATAAAAAAACAAACTTATTTACTTTTTTTATCCATAAATACACCATAAGCTATAACAGTTATACCTCATACAGTAGCTAAAGATTAGTAGGAGTTAAACAAAAACAAACATGATAAGCTAATGTGATTGTTGTTGGCATCTGTTGCCCTATATAAAAAAAAGAAGATCAGAGAACATTTCGTCTGGCAAAGAATAAAGTTAAGTACGATAACCACAACCATAACCACAACAAAAAAAAAGTCAGTGCTAAATTAAAATTGACCAAAGAGAAAGTTTAAAAAAAAATGCTGAAGTCAAGATCAGCTCAAAATAAGAAGCTAATTTTAGAGAACGCTGTCAGAGCCGACAGACTCTAGTACAGGGCTGTCCACACCTTTTTGTCTCGGGAGACAGTTTCCAAATGACCAGGGTGACGTGAGCTACCAACATTGAAAACTCTACATATATATTTACTCATATACACTGAATATGTTATTATACATTATATGTTGGGGTACTTTGATTAAATCGCCATAGAATGCACAATACTGTGGTCCTTAGTTTAGCCCCAGTGAATAGCATCTTAAAATAAAATTACATCTATAATTTTA